TCCATGAACCCAGTTTTAAATCCAGTGTTGACAGTGCAAAATTGTTGGTCCATGTAACTACAGCATTAAAATGTCTCGAAGGCCTGTTGAGCATAATTAGCCTGTTGTAACCTTTAATCTTGCTAAATTCCTCCAGTCTCTCCAGACTCGATGCCCCAGCTCGCTCCAAATTGCAGCATGTCTGTCACGTAGAAAACTCTATAGCGTGCCATTTCCCTTTTTTTTTTCTTTATACTCTCCGGTTTTTTTGTCTTTTCACACTGATGTTTGGTCTTTTCAAACTCTCAAGGCCACAGCTGATGGCTGGAATGCCATGAAAGGCTGCTGCTTTTGTCTGACTGTAATTGCACATTTCATCATGACACTGAGGCGAAACTGACAGAGACGTGGCTGGAGAGGGTGGGGTGGGGCGGGGGAGTGTGTCCCGAGAGAACTCTTTGTTTCCAGTCGAGTTGCTGGTGACCACTAGGACCACTGGAAACCTGTGGTCTCTGTCACTATTACATGCATTTGGGACAGAATGAGCTCATTTTTGTTGGGATGATGACAAAGTCCGACCTGTGGTTTGTCTAAATCTCTGCAGTTTAAGGCAGCACTTTGTTTTGGATGCACCTAGCAATCATAAGGAGGCTGAGTTAAAGATGCCTGTTTGCTGTTGTAAACAAATCATTAACAGCTTGTGTGGTAGCATTCAACAAGTTCTCAGTGCGGTTGATCACAGTGCCAGTTCCCAGAGACGTTTTGATCAGGCGGCAGCTACCTGTTCTTTCATACAGTCGCAGCAGAGTCAAGTGCTGCCGACTATGAATTAAACTGGGGAGGGAAAAAAAAACTGCGTTTGACTGCACATTGCTTTATTCTCTCTCTCGCTCTCTCTCTGGGCTCTGGCAAGCCAAGCCCAATGTTAAGTGGCTTTTCGAGTTTATCCAACGAGGTCAGAGGGAAAATAAAAACATCATAAGAGAGCTACAATTACAGCCCTCGAACATGACAAGCGTCTGTTTTTGTGCTTTTGAATCGGCGCCCACTTTTAATGGTCGGTTCTGGCTGCAAGATAAACAAACAGCCATGGGGTTAGCATAACCCGTGTCTACAACTGCTAGCCAGCCCCAGCCGGGGAGACAGCCCAAGTAGCTAAACTCCGCCGCAGCGCTAGGCTGCAACAGCAGGAGCTACGGTGGTTTTGGCGGCAGGGTAAATTACAGCGTGGAGAAAAGCTGTGGTTTGTATACAGCTAACTCACACACTCACTTGCTTTTCCTTTCACTGTGCTTCCTCTTTCTCTCTTCTCTCTCTCTCTCTCTCTCATTCAGAATCCCTTAGCTCTCAACGTACTTTTCAGGTTTAGCATAAAAATGTACACACATCCTTACGCAGTCACATGGGTGGGCCTTTCCCGCAGGTGCCTCCGCAGCGAGACCCAAAATCAGCATCGCCTTTGGCAAAATGTTCAACTTACAAACCAAGTGACCTCACAGAGGAGCCACGGCAATCTCTGAAATGATTGGCTCTGAATCCTGTGGGACATTCTGGGCTAATGGGATCTCATTATATGGCGCATGAGAGGAATCCCATCAGGTGACATTGATGTGTTTCATCATTCTGTATTTTTCAGCCCGACGGACCCAAGAGTCCAATCAGACCTCAGTGAGGCCACAGACACGATCCCTGTTTGGAACAAAGACAGCGACTGGAATCTGATTATTACAGCACATGTGACCACGTAACATGAAGAGGCAGGCTGTGATATGTGCATACGTTACATTTATTAACAAAGGCCTGGGATTTTCCCGGAGGTTTTTAGTGTTAAGGCAAAAACTTTAGAGGAGAATTTCTAAAAATATCTCCACAGGCACGGTTAGTTGTTAGTAATTAGCTTTGGAATACTCCAGGGAAGAAAATGATATCGCTTATCAAATCTGAAGGATCTAGTATGTGGGGGGAGGGGCGGGACCAACTGGATGGTAGAAGTGTTGAAGCCTGTGCAAACACATGCGTAGAAGTGTTGAAGCCTGTGCAAACACTTCTACCAGAGTGAGCTGAGTGTCTTTGACACCTGGGTGAAACCAAAACTTTTTCACTGAAGTGTGTGTAAATAACAACGGACAAAAATGGTGGAATTATCCGATAGACGCTGCTCAGTATTCTCTACATGCTGTTATTATGACTTACTGTGATGCGTTACACATTGACATGAACAGTCCTAATAGGGTTGTAGTAAACTCATATATGTGTATTTATGCATAGAACTCCATATATAGAAAAAACATTTTTATATTTATACACATATATATATTTTATAACTGACATAGTGGTGTATATTTGTGCCCATAATGAACCACCCCAAACACAAACAGTCAGACATACTGTACACAGAAACACACCCATACACCCACTCACCTGCTGCTCATCTGCTCCACTCTCCCTCATGTGAATAAATGGGAGTCTAATTACTGCTTTCTCTGCCTGTCTCCCAGGACAATGTTAGGTGTGTGTTTGTGTGTGTGTGTGAGTGTGTTAGAGGTGGTGTAAGCTGCTGTCAACTCACAGCTCTCCCATTTACACACACACACACACACACACACTGCTCATTAGCAGACTTTCTGTCTCACACAGAAACGAGACTCAGTTAAACACTGAGTTGTGCTCAGCGTTAGCTCTGCGTGTGCTTCTTATTCGAGCTGATGTATTTCCTTTCTTGAAGCACATTAGCATCTCAGTAACGCTCACCAGGAACAGTGCAGCGAACCGCTAAATACCTGTGTTTCCACCACAAACACCAGGGACTTTTATATTTGTCTTATTTGTCCACCCAAAACAAGTCCTTGCCTGAGGTGATACCAGGTTGTCAAAGGTCCAGGAAACAGCACTGTGGAGATGTCACTGGTTTTCTGCCAGAATGTTATGGCAACTGATGCATCTGCAGATACATATATATAAATATTGTTTTTGTTTTTTTTTTCAACTTCAAGGCTGTTTCCCTGATCAGCCTCATTCAGCACAGTTTCACCCGTAGCTTCATTAAACTTCCAATATTTTTTTCTCAAATCAATTGATTTTCTGTGAACTTTTATTTTTATTTTGTATGTGATGTGGGTAATTGTTTACCAGTTCAATTGATTTTCTGTGAACTTTTATTTTGTATATGATTTTGGTAATTGTTTACCAGTGGTGTTGTGGATAAAAGTGACATAAAACACAGTCAGATGGGATTAATGGATATGCAGAGTAGGTTGAATAACAATATATCCCACAATAATCTTGTATAGATATTAGAAAGAAAAACACAAAAAGTTAACTGGCACCAAAATGATGTGAAAAAACGACACATAATAAGGTTATAAAAGACTCCAAAACAAAATGAAATATGTTTGTACTTTATTGTATACGATATGTCTTTAAATAATCAACGGTATCAGTGTAGATCTTAGAGAAAACAAAACCTAAAATTAAACCTAAATTAGAGAAAACAAAACCTAAAATTAAACACATTTTGATCAGAAATACAGTTAGAGATTAGTGGAACTAACTAACTAACTAACTAACTAACCAACTAACTAACTAAGTAATGTGGTGCAGCCTTTTACAGTCACTGGTCATTTATAGTAATGCACTTGAGTGTAACACTGGTCAGTCAGAAGTTCTCAGTTCTCTGTGGTGCAAATGTGGCTGAAGAGATGATTGGTGCACTTAAAGCAGGACACAAAACCAGACAGAGACACTTCCTCATTCAACCACCACAATTCTGGTTAAAAATAGTGACAAGGAACTGTGTGCTACAGACTCTCTCGCTCTCTCACGGTACTAATGCACACATGTGCGTGCGCAGACAAACACTTTTTTCAACCAGCGCTGTTGCGGTTGCGGTAGCTTCAGGTCTTCCAAGTCTCTGTTTTTGACACAGCCTCGTCTGTGACGCAGTCTGTCCTGTACCATAAACTGTCTCTGTACTAGATCGACCTCTCCCACCACTTCCTCTGTGTCACACTGTGTTTCATCTCCCCTGCGGCTTCCAAGACTCAAAGTCTAAGTGGAGCACAGAGAGAGAAGACAGGTCTCCAGAGAGAACCGTGGCACTGCACAAACAAAGGCCACCTGGCTCCTGGCACGGTGGTGGAAATGTGCTCCGCTCGGTGCTGCGTTGACATCTTTCTGATAATAACACGCTCCACACTCTGGAGGCCTAATTAGCACTTGAGCTAATTTGCTAATCATTCTTAAATGCTGAGAGAAATCGTGTTTATCTTTTGGGGTAGATGATCCTCGTGTTCCCCGTCTGCCCGGTGACCTGTAAATGAACTTAATGGGATTGAGTTGATCAGGTGTTATCTAATAATTTAGCTTCATTCATTCATTCATTCATTCATTCATCTTCTATGTCTCAGTCCTCTTCAGACTCACAGAGGCAGCAGCCAATCACTGCAGTCGCCTGGTGAAGGTGGGGCTCCTCCCTCGACAGTTTGCCAAGCAACCATTCACACGTACAACCAATTAAGAGAGAGAGCAATTGACCAAATACTGAATGTTGTTATTGAAAACTGCAGTACCTGGCTAAACCTACAGGGGGTATCCTCAAACTTCATACAGAAAACCTATGACTCATTAACAAAATAATCATAAAGATAATACAACATTCACAAATCACTTTTTATGGCTCTTGTAAATTGTGGGCGGAGCCATGAAACTGTGTATCTAATACACCGTGGACACACACGTTATCATTTGCACACACACACTGCTGACCTTGAAATACAATGTCAACTGGCAGCATGTGTTTGTTGAGGCTTCAACTTCAGGACTGTGTCAGACCAGACTCACGGAGGTCAGTAAGTCTCTGACTGACATGACAGGCCGACTGACGGCTGGTGACTGGGGTGTTCAGGACCGTGGACTGATGAACTCTGTTGAGGACAGTTCCTGTGTAGATTTGTTTATTATTGTATTATCTTTTACCAAACAGCATCAGCTTCTGGTCGGGGACATAGTGTAGATTTGTTTATTATTGTATTATCGTTTACCAAACAGTGGTCGGGGACATCATTTGCGAACCCACAGACATCAGAGCACGTCGTATGATCTGCATTCCGTGAGGTGAAGGAAGGAGTGTGTGTGTGAGTGTGTGTTTGTTTTAATGTTCTTCAGCATATTTCACGTTCCAGTGGAGGCAGTGAAGCAGCACTGCCTCCCTGGATCTGTTCCAACTGGACCTCTGTCAGATTGAGTGACCTTGGCCTGACAGAAGTCCACTGGACCGTGTGTGTGTCACTGTGATTGTACGACCATGCACGTGTGCGATTATGTGTGAATATGGGTGGATGCACGGGCGTGTGTAGCGGTGGATGTCGGCCGTCCGTCTGTATGTGGATGTGCTAGTGTACGTAGAAGTGTGTGCAGGTTTTTCGCCGATCTCCCAGGGTAGCAGTCCATCTTGACAGGCTGTGCAGACCCATCACATTGGTGTCACGCCACTCCCTCACTTGGACAAGTGATGGGAGAAGTCCAGAGGGAGAGAGGGAGGGTGTGAATGACAGAGTGAACAGCAGATCAGAATGAACCCTACAGAAAAAAGTGGAGAGAGGGAAAAAAACTTAGACTCTACCAAAGAAATACACATAGATCTGCAGCATCTAGAAACTGCAGCAGTTGGACTGGAATATGTTCAGGTTTCCTCCAATAGAACGCGGTTTAAGAAATCCACTTTAGAGGAAAATATATGATAAAGCAAAAGAGGAGTATACATGAGTAACTGGTTATGTCTGTTTACAGTAGTTGTTTGGGCGACAAGAATGGAAAATGATGATGCCTTTAGCTCGTATCGCAACCAGAATAAGCATTATATACAGTAAATATATATATGTATGTGTAGAAAAATAGACCTAAAATAACAAACGAAAACCTAAAATAATGACACAATATTAATTTACAAGATATATGTAAATTTATTGCACAGATAAGCAGAATCGCACAGGTCTGGATGCAGTATTAGTATTTAGCCGCAAAGTAAAAGTAGTGGTGTCAAACTAATGAATGAACGGCGATAATTAATTTGTTGAAAAGGATAAACATTTTAATGCATTTTTATGTATGGGCAGAATGATGTGCACGATTCCAGAATTCCTACCTGCTGTCCCTGCAATATACAGGAATATAGTTTGTCATATTTAGTTTATCAATTAGGACATCTGCGATCGCAAATAATGATTAATCATGAGTAATCCATGGTTATCCTTTGATTAATCAGATTCGAAATAAATAGTTTTATCGGCCTGGTTGATCCCCTCTTTCCAGACAGATATTCCTGTTTCCCATGTGTGATGTTTGACCTGCTTCACCCAGCACTACAGCGCTAACACAGTAATAATTTGCAAAATTGCGCTGGGCTTGTCTTCATGACTTCATTTCCTTTTGTGGTGCTCCGTCGCTCAGCTGTGAATGTGATCAGTCGCTGGTCCAATTATGTTCAAACCCAACCTGTCAGGGCTGTTTGGGCCTCACTGTCTCTGGTTAGCTGAGACAGTGAGGAGACTCTGGGCCTGATCAACGTGTCAGCTGCTGCTTTTAATCAAACTATCTCCAGGTTGGATCTGGACTTTGTCATCAAATCCTTTAAAAGGTTGGCCATCTGAAGCACACGAGGAAAATCTCCTGGATGTGCTTGGCTCTCTCAACCTTCGCTAACAATGTGGAACACAGATGGTCACTGTTGGAGGAGAACCGATTCTGCAGCTCCACAATGCTGTTGATCGGTCCAATTGTTAGAAAACAAAAACTGTGTTTTATAAAGGATAGTGTGTGAGAGCCCAGCAGTGTGTTTATTAGATATTGTCTTCATCAGTGTCCCAGTACGTCAGGACAAGTTCATTTATTTACAGCCTAGATGTTAATACAACGCTGCTGTCGGCCATGTTGTTTTTGAGTTGTTTGCTTTTGTTAGCATCCTGCTCTCACCTGCCGGACATTTGGTGAGCAGAGGGTCGGGGACATTTATTAACCAACAGACCTCACAGTCGGACGACTGCGTCTTTGTGGAGTTGTGGCACTTACTTACTGATAGTATTGTCAGATTGAAACAACACGTACTCTTGTGTATTGCCGACTGTTAGATGAAGGTACTTCCAGGTTATACCAGGTGAAAAGACGAGGTGAACAACACGTTTTCTCTTGTGAATCCTAAATTCTGCCTTGTTGTAAAAGCGTATGTCTAATTTCTGTGTTGATCAAGAGCAAAACAACATTGTGGCCCTGTCTTCTTTTTCTGATTAGATTACATATGAACGAAGGGTCGTTTGATCTGATACTCAGGATCAGTATCGGTTCGATATTGGCCATAATTTCACGATCCATATGTCTGAATTGAACAAATATTTCAGATTTTCGGAAAAAACTTTTTGAAGTTGAGTTGACATTCTGTTGGTCATGACACAAGGAAGTTTTAAACTATTCCAATGTGATTGGCAGCTGCTGGTTCAGTTTCTTGAAGTCAACCTCTACTCATATCTGAATGACAAATCCTTTATATTCTGTTGTAATATAACGTAGCTTCTACAGCTATGAGAAAGAATCCCGGACCTGAAGGAGGTGGTTGTTTTTTGAGTGAGTGTCTTTTTTCTTCACAGAACTATCTTTAGTTTATAAGGGACTACTCTTCATTTCTAGTTTTTTTCTAAGCGATGCCACAAAGAGAATGAAGTAAAACCTGTTCATCTGAAGCCACTAAAGTTTGGTGGTGTGATCCCTGAGAGGCTGTTGCACACGTATCATCTTGTCGTCTCAGGCTAAGGAGACGTAACGACTCGCAGAGTTGCTCTGTCATTCGCTAACAACCACTTGAACCTCGCTGCCAAGGAGACCCAGGTACTCCCCGCATCCCAATTAATGAGAGAGAGAGGCTTGAAGATGCTGCTCTTGACTCTGGCTGTGGCAGCTTAATTGTAATTTTGGTGAGGCCCTCTGGCAACAATCTCTTCTACTTGACAGCTCTGTGCTTGTGTTGTAACTAATGGATCTCTTTGCATATTCATTAGGCTACAACTCAATCCACTGTACCACAGTAGTGTGTGTCTGCTGAGACGCCACAGCTGCATTTATGGTCTCGGTTTATGAGCCGTTTTCTGCCATTTTCAACATGTTTTCATGTGAGTGAGTAGAAAAACTCTGGGTGTTGACAAACACATTCACAGGAGACAGGAGCGGATCATCAACCCTCCGCAGTGTTTATGGACTCTAACTGTTCGCCAACCTCGCTGGGTTCTATGCAGCTTTTCACCAATTGAATCAGCTGGTTTACCTCAGAGTTCTTGTACAGCATTTTGATGTTATCATCTACGTCAGCAGAATGTCTTGACATCTAAGGATTCAAGGGCAATTATGAGGCCAAAGGTTACGATTATGACATGAAAAAAACATTTTTTTTAAATTGCCAATACCTAATCTAATATAAATGTTGATTTAAAAACACATTTAAAACAGTTATATTTCACACCCACTATTAAAGAACCAAGACCCAATAATAATTCTTCATGTGTTATTCCTAATGCGGCCTCCAGGACTTTAGGTCAGTCTGATTGGACCATTACTATAAAACTAATGCAAACAGGAGCAGTAGTGCATTAACATTAGTCCGTTAAATGTTTATGGATGAATACTCTTCCCTGTTCAAGTTCTGCTTCTTATTAACATATGATTTGATCAGACGAGAGCTAAGTGCAGCCTCCAGCATGAATAATGCATGTCTCAGACACCTTGTCCTCCACGTTCCCTTTTCCCCTAAAAGCTTTTCCTGGGAGGCTACAGTGGAGTGGACAGCAAAGCAGGATAAAAAGTTATTTTGTTCAATGAGGTGGTTACAAATTATGAACAACTCATTACACTGCGGTGGCCTTTTATAGAGCAGTAACACAATCACACATGCAGGATGGATCTCTGGGGGAGCTGTTGGAATTTGCTAATAGCACTCTGTCAATGACAAACTGAATTACATTAAATTTCCCTCAGGACCCAAACCTCATTAATACTTCAACGTGTTCCAGGTGTTTGGGTTTTTAATACAATATTTTTCTGCTCTGTTAGCTGTAGTTTTCACCATCTAGGAAAATACGCAGAACATACAGTGATAGAAGGACTGAAAGAACACGCAGTATTTTACACAAAACTATTCTTCCTCCAAAAACTCAACTGTGGAATGGAATATTTGAAAACGCTAGTCAGGAAATAGTTAAGAAAATGGTTAAATGTATGAAGTGAATACTAAATACTCTGATAAATGTATGAAGTGAATACTAAATACTAAGTATTCAGGAACTAAGTATTCCTTCAAATCAAGCCAAAACATGGTTGGAGAGTGGTGAGTGATCTCCCCCCACAGCAGGAACCTCACCAGAGTTTCCACGGTGGTCCTGGTGCATGGAGTTCTAATGTTCTCCTCAGTGAGGTGTGGGGTTCTCTCCAGGTTCTACAGTTTCCTCCACCAGGATTCACAGGATTAGGTGGAATTTGAACAGTACACGGTGGGTACTATGAAATGGAGTCAAAACAAACACGTTACAAGAGGCAAAAAGTTAATGACGAGATAAAATCACATAGACAAAAAACCCCCCATGTTTTCTCAAGAAAAATAACTGTGATAAGAAACTTTCCAAAGACTTTTTTATTTTTTGTGACTAAGTCAAGCATCTTGACATGTTATTAAGTGTGAGTCATAGACAGATGCGGTGGAGAAAGTCTGGTAATTTTGCTAAATAAAACATTGTTCAGAATCAGATAATAAATAAAACAATCTAATAAATAATCTAAGTTATGCATTCTTTCTGTGCGGCCCGGTACCAATCGACCCATGGACTGGTGCTGGTCCGCGGCCTGGGGGTTGGAGTCCACTGTCATGATCATGTAAGATTTGCATCTGAATTATTCCCATATATGTGTATGGTATCTCTCATACATGTAGACATCAGTCAGTGCAGTAGTATACTTGTAGTAGTAAACACGGTGTAGAGGTCAGGACGGCCAACCATAGTTTGAGACAAGGAAACATAAACTTTTCCATGAATGTTGACAGAGGTTTAGTGTCCATGTAATGGAGCTGAATGAATTACCATCAGTTCCTCCTGCAGGTCTGAACCCACGGAGCCTCTGCTTGGACAGAGTGTTGTCAGCTGTTTGGAAGCTGCAGTGTCAAAGACAACCACTGTGCGGGCCAGCACAAGTTTCCCCAGTGGCATCATCAAATCCCTACAGCTCGACTCCCCACTTTGCTTAATATCACTTGTCAACAACTGCTTTGGGTTCAGTCGTGGCCTCTGGTATTCCAATCAGTCACTATTATGAGCGAAACAGCGACTCTGGCCCTCGGGCCCATGCTGCATGTTGGCACCTGTTTGTTTAGTTGTGTGCCTGCACTGCATTCCCCCTCCAGCAGGGAGCAGTACATTCTGAAGGACACACCTATATTTGGTGGTGTGTTGCTGCCCTCTGTCTCTATTTTCTCTCTTTTTCTCTTATTTCTGGATGAAAATCTTTACTAGTAGATAGGCCCAGCAGGTGGCAGTGATGCAACTCTACTGTTGCTGATGTAAGTGTGTGTGTGTATGGGGGTGTTAAGGATCACCCCAGAGGAGGATACTCCCTGTTGAAGTATTATATATGTTTGTGATTCTGTACTTCTATTAGACTTGGGTTCGATGGTATACAGCTCTATGCAGCAGGTGTTTTTACCCTTGGTCTGGACCCATGTTTCTAGTTGCCAGTCATGATAATCTAATAAGACAATGTCAGCTCAGGAACATGTCATTAAAATGTCATGTCTCACATCCAATGATTTTATTTTGTCATCACGCTGATGCTCAAAGTCTGGTCCACGTCAGACAGGAAGTCCGTGTAGTGCCGGCAGCAGTGATAAGTGGATCACAGCAGAGTTGTGAGTGTGTGCTGCGTGGAAACCTGAGAGCACGATGTCAGCATGTTAGAGGTGAGCAGCAGAGGGAGCAGGCTGTTACACTGAAAACAGTACTTTGGTACTGACAGCACCCAGGTTTTTACCACGAAACACTTTGTTTTTTTGTGTTAATGACACACAAAGCAGGCGTGATGCTGATGGGAAACCTGGACCGCTGAGCCGAGGTGAAACTCATGTTTCCTTCTGCTCTGCCTGAGCCTCTGTGATGCCACCTATTGATGGTTGAAGTCCCACAGAAGCTTGAAATGATTGTGTTGTCAGGAAAATGAATATTCTGACATCAATTAGTAGAGTCTGCTACCAAAACACCACATGATGAGTCGGCACAATAAAGCCCATAATGCAGATCTACCTTTGGAACGAAGGACAAGCTCCTTAGTTTTAACATTATGTCAAAGGATTGGTGCTGTGTTGATAACATCGACCAACCGATATTAGCATCATTTTGGTGTATTTGTGAGAATCGTAATCGTTTTCCTCTGATGAAATGAAACCCGATAATGTAAATGACTGGGTTTTGCCCAGATGATGTGACTTAACAATAGTTTTGAAATCAAAGTGAATTATTGTCATTGTGAAACTGTGATTATAGCAGTATCAGCATTGGTTGATAAAATCTTAAATTATGCGTTTGGACAATATCAGCATATTGGATATTGGCAAAATGTTAGTACTGTTGTGTCTTTGTAATTACTACAAATCTGCTGTTCTCATTGAGCAAAAACAATTGTACACATCATCACACATTGTACGATCTCCCTAAAGATGATGAAAATATGACGCGTTGATCAAGAACTGTTGTGTTCCTGATTACGTATTGTTTGTTTTTATACACTACATGTCTGGAAATGTTTTTTTTACCATATTTCTATATATTATGTGATAGTTATTGTCTTCCTCCTGCCTCTGGGAATGGAGCTGAAAATGAGCTAAGATCTATTAGCAACAATCTGCTGCAGTACATCTGCACAAATACATCAAACCAGTAATAAACCCCCTCAGTGGGACACATTTAGAAAATATTGGAAATAAAATTATCTTTGTGTCCTAGCCTTGTTCCCCCTTCCCTCACTTTGGGAACCAGAAGAGTCAGCAACTAGAGATCGACGTTGTATTGTTACAGAGTAAGAACTCTTCACCTCAGTTAATCACTGCGATCTTCAACATGACAACATTGAAGATGAAGTTCTTATTAATAAGCAGGGCTTTTTAAAGGTCTTCATCAAACAGTCTTCATCCATGTTGTTTGTTTTTTTCTTCACTTTCCTCCTACAGTCGACCTCTGTGATATTGTAATACTGCGCTGCCTTCGTTGTTTTTCCTCCTCCTCCTCCTCCTCTCTCTTTAATTTCGTCCCCATGGCTGAAAAAAAAAAATCAATGTGAATCTTCCTAATAATCCACAGTCACCAATTTCTCTGTGATTACATCAGTGATGTCGTACTTTCATTTCCTTGAAGAACATGTGATAGTTTCTGGCGGTATTGCTGTGGGTGGAGCAGGGTAATTAGAGCTATTGATCTGACAAAATGATAGCGTTCACCTGCTGCTGAAGGGCATGTGCTCAGCAGGCCCCGGCCTTATCTGATGACCCATGAAATCGATGGCCTTGCTGCAATCTCCCAGGTGATTTACCTCATCCCATTTATCTCACTGGGCTGAACGAGTCCACATTCATGACAACAGCACACCAGGCCCTGCACACACACACACCCTCCTCCCCACAATCCCTTTCTGTACTGGTATCAATGCCACATGATCTTTCTGGTTGAAAATGTCACATCCGACCTACAGTCCAATGTAAGAGACTGTGTTGTTTCAATGCTGTATTTTCCTTCCATTTGTGTACTGGGCACCAATACTGATACTTGTTCAGGTTGTATTTTAATGAATGAAGTGGAAGGCAGTGTTCTGTTGGTGCCACAGGTCTGTGACCACACCAGGAAGGAAAACACAGTCAGTTTTATCTTCCTCTGTTTAACAGAGCTGGATTGGAACTGTCATCAAACTGACAGTGACGTCACATTAGACAAGGCATGGGCAAACTACGGCCCGGGGGCTGGATGCGGCCCACTTGGCTTTGTAATCTGGCCCGCTAAACTTATCCAAATTATGTTATTAATTTATATTATTGTTATACTTCTGCCTTTTTGCTCCATCAATCTGCTCCTGACCGAGCCCCCCATCAAATTCTATGGCCCGCGGGTCAGAGAGTTTGCCCACGCCTGCAATGGACAATAGAGCAAGAAAATGAAGGATGTGAAGAAATAACTTAACTTTCTGCATGGTTGCTTTCTAGATAACGTATTAGAATTTGTATTCCACAAACAGAGATGTGTCTGTGTGTGTGTGTGTTAATGGTGAGTTCTGTCCTGTGTAATATATATTTGTTATATTTTTATATTTTATACTTAACTGATAGTATAGATCATCATTTCTAACTAAACCAATATAGTTTTCAGATGACACATACAGAGTCCTCGACCTCCTTCCACTACTGTGCTCTCGCCCACTCTCCAGCTGAAGGACAGACAGAGGGCGCTCTGTTGACCTGCCTTTTACAGCAGCCACTCTGACGGTAATCACCAAAACTAACAGCGGCCCACTAAATAGCCTTATGTTGGTCTATAGACCCGGTCATAATGAGTGGTGACTAATGAGCGTATTAATGACAGAAAGCAGCGGAGACACAGTCGTTCTGAATTCATTAACTCTCTGCAGAGCAGCCTGACTGGAAGGCCCCATCGTGTTTCTCTGATCAACAACTGTGGAGTCATTTTAGAACCACAACAATCGTTCCACGTGCACAACCACTTCACATGTGTGCACGGGAAAAAAGGTCCAGAGAAAACAACATCACTACAATTAACGTGCTAATATTTTTAACCATTCTGATTGCTGTGCAGATGTAACATCGTGTGAATGGCTGCTGAGGTCAAAGAGGTAGAAAGTGAAATGGATTTATTCACAGCTAAATATAAAGAAGTCCACCTAACTTCAACCTAACTTCAACCATCTTCTTTTTATAAAGAAGTCCACCTAACTTCAACCTCTGACCTCCTCCATCTTGTCCTCTGTCTCTTCTTCTTCATCATAATTACACATTTCTTCTTCTTCTTCTCCTACATCTTCCTCTCGTTCTCCTTTTCTTCGTGCAGATGTAACATCGTGTGAATGGCTGCTGAGGTCAAAGAGGTAGAAAGTGAAATGGATTTATTCACAGCTAAATATAAAGAAGTCCACCTAACTTCAACCTAACTTCAACCATCTTCTTTTCATCACTGTAGAGTTTCAGGGTTTTTTGCCCAATAACAATTTCCCTCCATGTTTGGGTTTTGGAACAGAAACACCAGTCTAATTAAACGCCCCAGACGAGTGCACTTCTTCTTTTGATTACACTCTTCAGAACTTGTCATGGCAGAGCAGCTGCCTGCGTCTCACCCACTCTCCTGCATCCCTCCCTGGTGTCTCCCTCGTTTCGTTCTGCCTGGCAGTTTTATCCCACACTCACATCTCGATCTAACCCCTGAATTCATCAGCAGCAAAACTTCGCCCTCCGTCCCTTTGATTTGCTTTGATCTCCTACTGTTGTATCTGTCCTGGTCGGCCGTGATGAAAATGTCCACTTCAGTTTGGGACACTCTATAGTTGAGCAGAAATGATTGTCCTGGTGGTGGAAATAGTCACATATGAAGAGAGAACCCACACTGGTGCCGGAGGAAATGCTGTCGGTCGAACAGTTGCTGGCGCTGTTGTGCTACATGTCACACCTCTGATACCAGAATGCTACAAAGCTCTGTTAAATCACACAGTGGTGCAGCAATACGCCGGCTTATTTGGTTGAGTGTAAACACAGCATAAAGAGAGTGTTCTGAACAGCAGTGGAGCAGGAACTGTGTATCAAAGGGACTATTGATACTCTGAGAGCGTTTGCTTATGTCTGCAGCCACTTCCACACACACTAGCTTCATTGTGACCGGGTATGTTTCTTTTCATGGCCTGAGCTCTGTGTGAAAGCACGTCAATGATCCAGAGTCAGTGGCTGCTCCACAATACTGCTGCGACCAAGCCACCAATCAAACTAGTGTGGACACAGGCCGCGGTATTCAACCAATGAGAGCGAGTGGGACGTTGGACAGAGTGTAGATGGATGTGTTGAATAGAAGAAGCATTAAGTCTGACGGATTCTGACACGTAAACAACTTCACAAAGGTGAGATTAGTTCCACTCCAGGCGGAGACACTAATCACTGGAGGACTGTTGAGGAGCTGAGCAGTGATGTGTTCACAGTCCAGACCACATATCACAGGAACAGCGTCATGTCCTGACACAGTCCGTCTCCGTTTGACACTGTGGACTTTAAAAAGTCAAGTGAACCTGCTGTCTCTTCCGGCTCTTTCCGTCCACAGCAGTGGTTCAGTGGAAAAACATCACGACTTCACCACAGAAGCTGTGATATTTCTACCAGTGGAAGGAGAGTGGAGGAGGTTTGAGTCTGAATTCTCCACAAAGCTATTGAAAATATACACTCACCTATATTGATTATGGTCCGGATGTGACTTTGTTTTTATAGGGTTTTTTTTTTTTTTTTTTTGCAGGGACAGTTAGAGTCCAATGGGGGCACTCTTACGCCTATGGGAGTGGAGAGAGCCAATCAATGCTCTGTGAAGAATTAAAACCACCTCTGCAAACAGCCTCAGTATTTATGTAGGGCCTCAGAGTGGACGAGTCTCACAGCGTCTGGCTTCCCAGTGCAAATAAACAGTGCAGAGGTCTACGAGGTGGACCAGAGGTGAAGCCCACTCCTTTGTTGCCCACTGATCGAGGCCACTCTCAAATAGGTAGGATGAAAAGTGTGTGTGTGTGTGAGAGAGAGAGTGTGACATATCCACAGTTCTCAGATGATATGCTTTGCATGTGGTTCTTGAACCAAAAACTCAGGCCTCGCAAACATGCCAGGTCTCAGATAACCCACGTCCTCACACTGGACCTACACAGACCAGACTAACAAACTGACACGGTGCCGCTCACCAATGATCCTGCAACGATCAGAAACCCTGCTAAGCTAATGGTGGACACTTTGACCGGCAGTCTACACATGTGATGAACCTTCTGTTTAAGTCAGTCAGTGAATTAACAACACAGTATGGTAACTTGACTAAATAAAAAAACAGATTTTCATTTTGATAAAACAGTTCATCTGAGATTTAACATGAGCCTCAAAGGGCAGTACCAAAGGGACTAGACTAGTTCGAGTGGCATTACAGTGACATTAACTGACCACTGTTGTAGTAAATATATGAGAACTGTCCACCACAGGTCAACATGCTCAGAGAGACACGGTTTAAAGCTGAAACCTTTGACTTACAGTAAGTGTCTCTGAAAAACAAGAGGGAAATGTAGTGTTTGGGTCATGATGAGGAAATAAGCTCAGTGTCAAGCGCTGAAGTTCCTCTGCTTTGTGCAACAAAACACCCGAGACCACACAGGGCTGCAGGGCAATTCTGTTCTCTCTCTGCAGATTCCTAGAATTTGCAAGTATCTGTTTTCAAAGGTCAAATGACTGAGAGAGGAAATTATATCAGCTGCTGACGTAGTTAAAAATGTGTTAATTTTTTCAAAGACTAAATGATAAGGTTGTTAAGGTGATCATTTACGTCCAAGTGAAACCTTTGTGTGTAGTTCAATTTCTTTTGGTGTTTCTACACTTAAAGCTAATTGGTATGTTGTAATGACATGTACTGACCACACAGTGCACCTACATGCAGAATTTCTATCACACAATCACAATTCTTACCGAGACGCTACATGCCTTGCTCAGGGACACGTCGTCATGTTGAGATGGTTCTAAGCCAACTGGCTTCAGAATAAAACTTCATGTATGAGATTCCTCATTCGGCTTTTCTTTATCTTCAAATACTGTCTTTTTTTAGTTTAAGTTTAAGTCTGCTATAAATGTAGGAAATAACAGAGTTATAAAGTCCTCATGTTCTTATTTGAATCAATATGTCACATTTTATCATGTTAAAAATAGAATACAGCTAAAAAATACTGTCTTTCCTGCAGATTGTAACTTTATGTTTGCTGTTCTGTTTGACAGAGCTACATTGAAGTCTCCCACCGTGTGTGTAGCTAACTGTCATGTCCTCTGAACATGAGTTATTATCCCAAATCATGTCAGAGCATCTGCAGAAGGAATCCATTTGTTGCCAAGCAACAGCCAAAGCTCGCAGCATGCTATGCTACACCAGTGTTTCATAGAGGAGAATGTACTTCTAGAATCTGGTCACTCGTTTTTGGACAATAACATGAATATAAAGATGAAAAAAAAAGCATTACAGAAGTGCTATATTTAGATTATTGTTTATAATAAAAGAAAAAATTATCTTATTCTAATTACAAATTCAGTCAGTTAGAGTCTTTGGGGAACGTCTTTAAAAATGTAAATGTAAAAAGATGAGGCAGGAGACGAGTAACTGGTTTCCAAACTTAGTGAAAGCTGCATTTCCAGTCCTACTTAAAGTACAGGTTATTGCAGCAGCTAATTGTCAGGTGGCGAACGTTCTGTGCGTGTATAGTTTAGGGTTACAGTGAGTTTAATCTTTTTAAACTTTATGTTACTAACATTATTAGTAACATCTTGACAACCTGTTTCAGCCGTCACTTTTACATTTGGTCACAAAATAAAGCTTAGTTATATTTAATCTTACTAAAAATTCGTTTTTTGTATTGGTTTATATTTATGTATTTATAATCATACATGTGTACAGATGATGTGGTGTGCTGTTTTGGATAGCATTGTCTTATTTTGCATGAAATTTGCAAAGTTAGCAGCAGCATCCCAGAGATGCTACATATGCTAGCACACAGTTAGCATTTGGCACTGTAGCAGCATTTCTAGATAAATCCTCACCTCTTCAAAGTTAAACTAAACAAATTCAAAATTTGCGTTCTCTCTCGTCTTCTTTATATTATGTGCAGTTATCATATGAAAATAACCAAATAATGAAATAAAATCAGTTAAGAATACATCCATAGGGATGAGGAAGTACACGAAAAGTAGGTATTTAATGGACGAGGACAATTCAGGTGACAGTTTGTGCAAATGCAGTTACATGAGAATTCACGATGTTTGACTGAGGTAAAATAAAAGCATTGTTTTGCGAGAAATTATTTTACGGTGAAAGGTGTGTTTGTGTGTTTGTTTTGTGTGTGCGTGCGTGAGGTGGGGGAGAGGTAGGCAGGGGAGGAGGCGGGAGGGGGATCAAACTGATATTTAGCCCCTACTGGCTTTTTTCCCTCCCTGCTTTTGTTTTATGCAAGGCTCCTTTTACCACATGGTAGTGACAGATTGTTTGAGCTGAAAGGAAAAGCCATTCGAAGCTAATTAAGCAGCCATTCCAGGCACTATTCGCAGGCAGGAGGGAGAGTAGCACAGGCATTTGTCAGCGCCGTACCCAACGTGGTTTTAATTGACAGCACGGGCTCCAGACTGACAGGTTTTTCTTGCGCTCAGCCAATCAAAAGAAACAGAGGAAGCCAGGTGTAATACGATTGGCTAAAAAGAAGTGGGAAGGACAGAGGAGACGCTGTGGTCCCACGTGGGGCTAAAAACGTGATTGGCTGAAATTTTTTTGAAGCTGGAGCTGTTGCTGTACCTTATGCTGCTGATAGAAAAACTTGTAGATGTTTGAGGTCTCGTTAGAAACTGGTCGATCAATTTAAGTCACTCAGAGGCTACTCTGGAGTTGTAGATTAAAAGGATTTCATCACGTCTCCATACATACGGTCTTGATTTTTTTATATAATCCTCCATTGTTGTCTTCATAGAATAAGGAAGTATTTTCTGCTTTGTTTTGCATCTTTTCTTTTATAGACTGTTATCAGAACATGTTGTTATCTTTGTTTTGGCTTAAGAGTAGCTTCAGTTATTAAAACCTAGTGGACTGGGTACATTCACATCTTCAATGTTTGTTACAATTCACTCTTTATATTCTCTATGGACTCCCCTGCACCATTAGCTGAGTGTGCTAGGAAAATAGTATTGTTACATAGAAGTCTAAATCTTATAACAAAGATACACACACACAGGAAGTGATATATTTAGTGTTCACTTGTGCATTGAATATATATAAAAAATCACATTAGGGTAGACACAACTGAGACAATGAAGAACCATCAAATACTCACACTGATGTTTATGGTTATTTCTGAAACCAGAAAATATTAACTTATGTTTTATCAAAAGACATTACTATCCCGTATTTGTTGAATGTATCGATTTAAAGGCCTCATCTCTTGAGAGAAAAAAAAGAAAGAAGAAAAGCAAAATCATTGCATCGATCTGTAAGACATAGTAAATCATTTTAAAATATAATTTTAAATTAGCATATCCATACACAATGACATTTAAAGTACACACTTTCTAAGCAAAAACATTGGAACAGTGGCTGCAGCTTACCCGAATATCAAATTATTGCCTTTGTTTTGAACAAGTTGTTGAACGCAACTGCATATCCAAAATGGCGAACGGATGAGGTCACATTCAGCCAACCAATGGTGAAACCGTCTCGGTGTTGGACCCACGTGGGATCCTTGCGATGTGATAGGTTAGATTTTACGGCAAACCTGATTGGTTATGCCTCCCTCCCTTTCTCGACAGTTGGGTGCTCGTGTCAGTGAACAGTCTGTGTGTGGTACGGCGAGCGGCGGAGGAAACTGGGTACACAAACTAGTGGTGTATGTCACAAACGGCCGACATTTTCTAAAAAAGAAGACAAAACATTTTCCTTTCACGTGCTTCGAAATAACACACGGGGTTACTAGAGGATCCTTTTCGACCTTCTTTGAAGTTCTGTGCTATCAACGGCTCGCCCCTATCGAGGGGTTTCCAACGGTCGAGCGGACGGAGAGACGCTCTCCGCCGCGGGTCACCGAGGATTTTTTTTTTACAAGACTCTGAAGAGGAAGACGAAGTGGAGGGAAAATAGGAACTGCGACGGACATTCATACAACTCCACTTTGACGGACACAAGGCGAGGATATCGAGTTTTGTGCGTGGATACTATATTATTCCCTTTTATTTTACCTGTACGGAGGAAAAGAGGAGTCGGAATCGAGACAAAGGTAAAAGGAGCAACACGGAGAGGCGCTAACGAGACGGGTGGAGGTGGAAGTAGTGGTGGCTTTTTATGGCAGTAGCTCCTTGTTTTCTTCATCTTCTCGGACCAGTGAAACAAGCCCTTTGTGGTGTACGAGTCGTTAGATTTACAAGACAAAAAAACAAAGCATCACTTTGGGCACTAGGGTGCGATCCAGAGGTCTCAACTTTATAGTAAATTGTGTTCACGTTCGACTGCCAAGGCTTTTATTCCTACTGTTCTGCACATTAGGGGTAAGACATGGAGACTGGGCGCAGATAACGAAGAAAAGTATTGGAAAAAAAGCCACGAGGCAAACTACAGATTTGGCACCATCGTGATCTGCATTTTTTTCCTTTTAGTTTTATATTCGATAAAGCATGCGATTATTGAGCGTTTTACGTATGTGTTTAACAAAATACTTAAACACGGTAAGATTTTTGTTTTGCTTTACTATTGGTTATATTTTAACTATCCGAGAGGAGTTCATATACAGAGCATATTAGATTTGTACGAAAGAAGAAAACTCCTGAATATAAATTATTCTTATGACTAATTTAGTAGTGGATCAGATTATTGAACTCTGGATTCCTTGCGTTAACCTTTGGTTCCTTTGTCCGATAAAAGTCTGGGTAAAATGTGTACAGTCTGTCCCCAGGTTCTTGTGTTAACCACTGCTCAAACTACCTTGAAACGCTTGTTTCGTAAATTTGCTATTAGTTTACAATAGCCAGTGTTTTCCACAAGGATACATCGTGTGTAGACTATCACAGGCTAAAATCAGCATTCGAGTTGAAGGCAACGGACTGACTCACAGTCTCGTGCACATTTTATAGAAACATTAAACAAACAATTTTTTTTGGAATACTATAAATTAAAATATTGCCCAAAAATGTCATAACCCACAATAATCTGGACCTTTTAAAGTACAGGAGAAGAAAAAACATAATGATGTTGCTGTTGTTGTGCAATCACTGAAAATATTCAGGCTAAGCTATGTGGTAATTCAAAATAAAATGATAAGAATGTGTGATTACCAATATAAGCTATGTGGTAATTCAAAATAAAATAAGAATGTGTGATTACCAATGAGACGTTTGCCAATGTCAGAAACTACAATCAGTTTGTTGTCATTGAGTTCCAGTTTTACCCAAATGTTTATTGAAATAACGTCAGACCATAAAGATTTCAGGAAATGAGACGTCCTGCCTTCCCTTTTTAAAACTTAGCCCATTATCTCTGTGTTTAGGTACCAAGGAAAGACCGTCGAGGTGTCATAGGTCTCGTGCCTAGGGTCTGTAGGTGCAACCCTAAGCCAAGAACACATTTTTGTCAACCACCTTACACTGGAGAGGTGGTGAGTGCGATCAACCACACCTTTACTGAGACTACAGAAACAACAGAATAAACCACACAAATTTCCTGGTGAAAAAAGTCTCGACATGTATCCACAAGGCCGGCATCCGGTAAGTAGGAGTCTTTGTGACTGTTTGTAAATTGATGAAACTGCACCACCCTCTTAAAACAGCCTAATTAGCTTGTCAAAGTGGAGCTTACTGATCCACACCTTACTATTTAGAGTCTGCACTTTACTGTGAAAAGGAACTGCGGGATCATGTTGATTGGCAACAAGATCAAAGGTTTTGGTTGTACGGGGAAAACAGTTCATCACCTTCTTCTGGAAACCAACTATTTTTCTTCTATTTTACTTTTGTTTTTTTTTCCATTTGCATGTTTTGTGTTGACGTTGTGTTACTCCCTGCTAGACCAGCATTGAAATGCATTTACTTCCTAACTGTCTTCAGTTTACATTAAACAACGACAAAACACTTAATCTTGGCCTATATTATGAGTGAGAGTAGCTGTATAGAGGGCAAACCATCAGGAAAAAAGAAACCACATTTATTAGCAGAGGAAGGAGGGGGGATGAGGGGGTGGGGCAGAGAGAAAGAGAGAGGTGAGAGCAAGAGAGAGAGAGAAAGAGACATTGGATTATTATCTTGGCTCTGATGGTAGTATTTACACCTGCAGTATTTCCAACCTTGCACTTTTCAGGCACCTCATCAGCCAGGTCAGCCTGGCTTCAAGTTCACTGTGGCAGAGTCGTGCGACAGGATCAAAGATGAATTTCAGTTCCTGCAGGCCCAGTACCACAGGTAATGATCAGTTTACAGTAAACAACACTGGCTTCCTTTTAGAGAATAAGAAGAGAACAGTGTATTTATTTGGTTTCATTTTTGTTTAATGTCAAGTGGCAATTCATTATGTCACATTAATTCTGTTTTTGCCCCAAGCCTGAGTTAAATATTGTTTTGGCTGTACACCAGAATCAATATGTTCAGATCTGAGTATGTATTGTTAAACTATCACCGTAAATCAAACACCTCTTGTCTTCCCTTTCCTTGTAGTCTTAAAGTGGAATACGATAAACTTGCCAATGAAAAGACAGAGATGCAGCGTCACTATGTCATGGTAAGAACAATTATCATAAATCTATGAGTCTGCCTTAATGCCACTGCCTCCTTTTTGCCCCAGGTGAGCAGACACAGGTGGTGGATCCCTGTTGTTCTGCAGAGGCCTGGTTGGTATTTGTTTAAACTTGGTCCTGTTCACTTAATCACGTTTTTATCGGAAAAGGGGGATAAGGTGGGTGTGTGTAGGGGGAAGCAGAAATTTTGGAGGGGGTCAAATGTCCAACTATTGATTGTGCTTTGAGACACCCCCCATGGCTCTAAGGCCCTCTTTATGACCCTCTTCTACCCCTCCCTAACACACCCAACATGACCCTCTGGGGGTTAATGACTGGCCTGCTGGCTTTGCACATAAATCAGAGGTTTTCTTGAAGCCTTTAATTTTTCAAGGTAGACTATCCGGTCGTTGAAACCTAAGGACACACACATGCATGGGTTCCTCTGATATTTGTCAAAATCCTGCCATTTCTAGTATTGTAGAGATAACAGAAGGCTTGTTGGCACAGGTCGTTTCTTTTGAAGGTATTTTTTATCAAAGAAGAGCGGCAGATTCATTGTAAATCTCTTCCAGAACTGCAATCAAATTATATTAGTTGAGCGCTCCCTGCTAATCAGATAGCCACAATAAAATATGTGCTAGTGCAACACAACTTCAAAGAGTGCACTGAGTACAAGGGAAAAGAGCAGCCTAGGTCTGATGGTAAATTTAAGTTGGACCTGGGTCTCTGAGCTTTTCTTGTTATTATGTGCATGAAGTTAAACTACAGCACTTTGCTTCCTTTTTCCTTTTTCTGCGAGGAAGCAGAAGGTAGTGGGAGTTGCTATGATAAATTAAAATTGTTAACAGTGCTTAAGGTCTCAGTTTGCATCTGGTGGTGGGCTCACAAGCTTTTGGCACACTACATAAGATAATGTTGTTTTTAATGATAGCATTGGCTTAGTTTTAAAAGCCACACACACTGCCTGTGCTTAAAAGTTGGCAGGAGTCAGTGGAAGTCAGTGGAAGCTGTAGCCAGCCTTCGTGTTTACTGTGGCAAAAAAAGTATATAAAGTTTTTATACCCTTTAGTTTATGTATGTGTTTTTTAATTTTTCTACTCTCTCAAATAATTAGGCGATCATAATTGTTTCAGTCAACAATCCTAAAAATTAGCATTCTACTGATGAAAGACACCAAAAACTGCCTTTATTATACTTTATTATAGGTGGCACTCACAAATAAAACAATTCCAATCTATACCAGTATTTCTGCTCTGTTTTTGCTTAAAATAGACCTTAATCCTTATAGTCTTAGATGTGACTCAACTTCTCAGTCGTAAACATCTGCTGCGCTCAGTCCTACAGATTTGAAGTAATTACAGCTATGAGACAAATTTCCGGTTGTGCGTTCTACACTGATGGCTTGAAACATGAGTTTTATTTCATTGATTAAGTCTGCATAGGAAACAAATATGAAGTAGTGTGGGTGTGGCCTTAAGACTCCTATTCCTACATTTATAAGGTCTACAGTCTTTTGTCCATCTATAATAATTGTACATTACAGCTTAATGTGAGAAAAATAATCCAGAAAAACTACAAGTCTAGCATCATGAGCTAAAACTGTATTACTGAATCACAGAGTCTTGAGAAAATTGACTAGCTTTTCTGGAATACACATGTATAGATAATAAAGAGCAATGTTTGAAAATGTGCTTTCTGTTTTATTATTGACGTGCACCTTCCTCTGTCTTACAGTACTATGAGATGTCCTATGGGCTCAACATTGAGATGCACAAGCAGGTATGTAGCCACATTAGAGGCATTGTGTGTATTTAGTAGAAACACTGTGGTATGCCCTGTTTATTGAGCAATACAAAGACATGCACACGCACACCCAACCTTACTTTCTGCCCTCACCCTTAAATGTCTGTTGTTGGAGTACACATCAGAGCTTCCTGTAGTGAAAATGCTGACAGGCTAAACAACAAGAAGGGCACATTGCCTGATGCGGATGGTTTGATAAGATTAAAGCAAAGTATTTGGCAAGCAGTCTGAGAGGATGTGTGTTTTTTTGTGGGTTGTACTTTGTGTGTATCTCTACATGTTAACATGTCTGCACAATTCTGCCACTGCTTCCCTAAAGTTCCAGGTATACTAAAAGCTTATTACTTCAGCTGCTGGCCAATGTCATGCATCACCCTGCAGTAACCAAATCCATGCAAATACCAAGGGCAAAAATACCTTTTAACCACCCAAGGAGCAACAGCCAACCAGTTTAATGTTGATGGTTTCTGCGTTTATCATGTTCAGAAGCTGTGGGAATCTTTAGGTCCCCCGTGAGTTCTTTGTCGGAGCACATGTCTGATGAGTTTTTGAAGTATATATCCATTTTATTTGTGGTTATGCTGCCACACATTACTTTTTATGACACAGGACATCAGTGGACTGTTGTTGTTCTCGGGCTGTAGCTAAAGTTTAACTATGCTCATTGAACCTTTCAAGTGACAAGCTTTGCCTCTATGGCATCTCACCATCCGACTGGCACAACTAAGCTTATTGAGTAGTAATAGTAGAGTGCTGTGTATTGGTGCCTTTGTTTAAATAGGGACAATCATTTCTGTTTCAAATTATTTGGAAGAAAATCGAATCAGTGTTCACTGGTAACATGGGTTTTTGACTGGTTGGTTGTTGTAGTCGTAGCTAAACCAGTATGTCAGGATTGTGCTACATTCATTGCTGATCACTTTCTTTGATTGACATTAAGAGTTTGCTGATGGCAAATTATTTTTCTCCAAGTAAATCATGAGGGTGTGTCATTAGTTATGAACGGAGTTAGTCAACCTACAAATCAGTTTCTACAGCAGGCTCAGTCCCAGCAGTTTTTTTTAATAGTGGTGCTAATTTTTGATATTCTGTACTACTCAATAATGGACATTTATACGCATTTAGTTACTTTTGTGGCTGTTTTGTGCAAAAGTCCCAAAAAATTATGTGATAATGAGAAATTTGTCTATTTCTTGTGTCAAACAAATGGGACGCTAATTGTTAAGACCTTGTGTCTACATGCAAAGGCACTAAAACAAACAATTACAGCTCAGCTTGTCAAAACAAATGATAGTGCTTATCTGGATGGAAATGTTTGTGAAAACTGTTTGTGATAACTAAAATATTTGAAAAAGTGATCTTTGCAAATACTCAGGTGCAGACACAGCACTAAGTGCAGCCCAGGATTCCATGTCAACACCATCTTTTTAGGTTGTTGGATGACATGTTTTTCCAATAATCTTCTGGTACTTTATCATTCCATCTTTTGTGTGTTTCTGTGTTCATTGCACATAGACATCTCTGAACCCTTATTTCTCCTTTCCCACCTCCTCTATGTGCCCTAATGTCTTTTCATTAATATTCCCTTCGGTTACCTCACCAAAGTGGTGAGTTTGATGGCCCATGTGTTATTGGTCATTTGATATGATTTAGGAGGGTGGAGGTCTTGTCTGGAGGGTGGTAGAGAGACAGAGAGGCTTCATGGCTCTGTGATCCAGAAGGTTAATGACAACAATGGGAGTGAAGCCCATACACAACAACACATAAACAGGTTTCAGATCAGAATAATCTCACTGGCTCTTATTGGAGGAAACTCTGTGGTAATGGATAGACAAATTCTTAAAATTATAATTAAATTATTTGGTTGATTTATGATGTATAGCTGGATGATGGAAAATCAGGGGAAAAGGGACGGCTTCATACATACATGTACTTATAAGTATTCCTGGTGTACACATGGTAACACTGGGAGTCTCTTTACACAAACACAGTAATTCAACTTCCAACAGATGCTGCTTCCTGCTGTTTTGAATGGTTGCTAGCTAAGGGATTGTTCGGCTGCTAGGGGGTAATTTGTTCTGACAGTGTCTCTTATTATGGCAGCGACTACAGGGTGGGGGTAATCACCCTTGGTTGCTGTCAATAAGTGATTTTAATTAGCGCAGCTCATTAGGCTGCCTCAGCAACGTGCCCTGCTGACACTGTGGTGTGGGTGTGGTGGGTGTTCCTTTGTTTTTCACCACCTCACTGTTCTCTGTTGCATTGCGTTGGTATCTCTGGTACGTTTGCCCATATTTTGGTCTTAGCTCTTAAATGAACCTAGAGAAAAAAATGAATGCAAGGAATAAAAAAGATGGTGTATTCAAACTGTTAGTCCCACATTACATTATCTACCCTGCCATGTACTTTACCTAGATGTTTTAGCGGTGGCCATTTTTAACCTTACATGTTCTCACCTCTTCAACAAATGATGACAGCAGGGAAAGTGCTTTATCAGAGCGTCATGTCCGTTTCCTGGATAGAGGAAGATGATGAAAGGAAGAGCAGAGGGAGAGTGAAAGAGATCTTGTGCAAATGAATAATTTATACAGGATTCCTGGAATTGTTTGCCAAGGTGATGATGGCCGACCTCTTTCTAAGCCAAAACAAACTGACTCTGAGAACACATACACAGTCTCTCTAGGGAGGTTGACGGGGTTAGTGTAGGATGTGAGACATGCTTTATTGTGATAGCCAGTCTTGAATTGCACCTGGAGCAGAGTTACACAATAAGTATCAGGATATTAGTGTGTGTGGGGGTGCTATCTAAAGCAGTCATAATTGACGTGTGTGTGGGTGGGGGTGGCACGGGGAGGTGCGGGGTGTTGCTTAGATATAGCAGTATATATCAGTACATACTTATTGCATAATTTAGGAACTAAAATCCTGAAATTTTAAAGTAATCGGTTTGAAAACAGCCCATGTATATCCACCCTGAAGTGAAATACGTGACTTAATTTCAGTGGTTAAAGTAAATGACACCTGCGTGCAAAAATATTCCTAATGCATTTGTAATGAGCCAGGTACCGTTAAGTGCCACTTTCACCTTCTGCTTTGGTCTAGAAGATAATTCACACACAGCCATCTCTGGCCCTCTCCCATCATAGGCCACTTGTTTTCCTCACCAATTGAATTCTCGTCAGAGACTCTGCTCCCCACTTGGGGGCTAATGCCTGCAGAGAAAAGCAGCCAAATGGCTTTCAGTGCATCAGACGGATGCAATAGAGAAATGGCCTCTCCAAGCTGCAGTGCTGCTAGACAACTCTGAGTACCTGTAATTGTGGAGCTGCAGTGAAAAGTGCTGCCTCAAAGGGTCTCTGTTTTCAGAGATTTCAAGTGTCAATAAACTTTCTCTAGTGTCAGTCTCTGCTCCTGAGCACTGTGGAAAATTTTGCCTGAAAAGTAAAATTGCTGCAGTTGCTGAATGCTGCAGGGCATTGAATGTAACATGGTATGTTTTTCACCAATAAATGTGGCAATCAAAATGTAAAAGCTGTCTGACTCTATGGTTCCTCAACCTAAAACTAGAAAATGACCAATTAATCAGACGTCCTCAAATGTCACAGAGAAAAACCTGTTTAGTATCATTAGTTTACAGTATAATTTTAGAAGTGAAAAGACATTTGGTACTCCCCTAAGTGTTTACGTCAAACCATGTACGGTCTGTTTATAAATCGGTTTGTGGTGAGGGTTTGTAATGTTGCCTCTCTAATGCAACAGCATACTCTGCTTCTGTTCTCTACTGCACCTCATGTTGTTCCCTTTGCAGCCATTTCCAGAGAAGTGGTGTAATAGTGAAACAGCCTCATCCCTCTGTGTGGCATTGTACGCAGCCCAGGCTAATGATGATGCTTTATGAGTCTCTGTAGAGCTTCCCCTTTCTCTGTTCATCATCCTCTCTCTCTCTCTCTCTCTCTCTCCAATAACCCGCTCCCAGCCCATTTACTGTGCAGCCTCATCCCTTCTCCCAGTTATCCCTCATTAATTTCCCATGCCAATCAGATCAACAGGCCGAAAATTCAATTTAATGACCTGTCTCTGTGCTGCTCCTTATATGATTTTACAGGCGGTTCTGGTCAGGGCCCCAACCCAATTTACATAACGATCAGCCGTGCTGGGCAGTGTTGCCCCAGCAACAGAAGAGGAGGAAGATGGGAAAGGAGAAAGAGGAAGGGGGCGGGCACAGCTGAGAGCAATGGAGATCAGTATGGGGGAGTGTGCGGAAGCTGTAACCAGAGGAAAGAGAGAAAGAAAGCAGGGTATCTAAGGTCAAAGAGGGGGATGTGAGATAATTCTTGAGCAGTGAAGTTCTGTCCACCCTTCTTTTCTTCCAAGCTGTTTCTGTCTCATCGCTTCTCAAATGTCAGAGTGACAAAGGTTGTACAAAAGGCTCCTCCCCCAACCTGTGCCTGTCTTTGCCCTCTTTTCCTTCTACCATCAAACAAGGTTAAAGAGGGAAATGATTGGAATGCAGCTTCCTTTAAAAAGGCAAAAAGAACCTCCTCACCCACACGCACCTGCTCCCCCCCCCCGCTTAATCTCTCAGAATCAATTAGTTCACCTCTCTCTGTTCAGTCAAACCACATTAACTTAGTGTCAAATCACAGGGCTTCTCTTCACTGTTCGTGGTCTCTACAAACCCTGCTTTATTCTCCTGCTTTTTATGCTGTAGTAAAGCAGATTCTAAAAAAAGAGAAAAATGTCTAGAGACATTTAAGTCCGATGGAGGTGCAGTGCTTCCCTTTTACCGAACTGAGCACTGTAAAGTGCTCTATGTTTTGTTGTACCCTGAAGTATCGTCTTTCGTTCCTGGCTAAAATTGCACGGTCGATAGCAAAGATGCCTCTGATAGCTAGGCCAAGAGAGTTGACCCGTCTGCCTCAGCATTCTTGACACTACTCTCTCTGGACTGTAATTATGAAGTATGACCTCATTAGTATGGCCCACTAGACAAATGGTATTAGCATATTTCAGCTTCCTAATGAAATATTGCCTAATAGGAGACAAGAGGTTGGGTCAATTAGAATTGTTCTAAGGCTGCTGTGTAATAGTGAATGCATGTGCACATATGCAGAAAAATGCTGAATACAACATGACATACAAATACACACCCAGTACACCTTCAGTGTTGTCGTTATTAAATGGTCCATTACACTGTAGTGTTGTCTGTGGCTTTGACTTCACTAAAAGACTTTCATTCTAATGTGGTTCTGTCTTCTTCTACAGACTGAGATTGCCAAACGTCTCAATGCAATTTTGGCACAGATTATGCCGTTCTTGTCACAAGAGGTGAGTCTCAACCCAGTTTACTGGAGTTCTGAGTACTGAGAGTTTGTCAGTATAAGTTAAACCCTTCACAACCAGGATGAAAAATTAGTGGCGTGTTGTGTTTTTTGTACACTTGTATTAATCATGAGGCTTGAATCGAGTGGCAACGCAGCCTCACTGAGTAAACATGATAATTAGTTTTAATCACTCCCAATTACTGAAACATGCTGCTGCTGCTCATTCTCCACCTTATTTAACAATCTGTCTAATAAGGGAACGAGTAAAGAATGATAATTATTGATTTGAAACCACATGCTTCTTCAGACAGTACAATAAACATGGCTTAATTTTCAAGGAACTCTAATTAACAATCTTGGCCCTGACAACAAGGTTTAATATAGTATGTATAAATATACTGTATGTACTTAAGTCTTATTTGAATTCTTATTAAAAATATCTGTGCTCTTGTGTATTGCAGCATCAACAGCAGGTGGCTCAGGCTGTTGAGAGGGCCAAGCAAGTGACAATGACTGAGCTGAATGCTATCATCGGGGTACGTGGACTTCCCAATCTGCCTCTCACTGTGTGTATACCCCCTTTTCTTACTTTACTTGATTTGAAGCTAGGGGCAAATCCGTAAGTAAAGAGGAAAATTGACAGCTAGCCTTTTCTAGCATGCCACATTACTTTTAACATGGGCTTCAACTAAAGTTCATCCTATCATGGACAACATGTGAAAGGGCAATAAGTTCAGGGGAGAAATAAAAAAAACCCATCGCATTGAAGCCTGCTTCCATTTTGTTCTTCTGTGGCAAGTGAACCATTGGACTGAACATAAACTAGCAAAGCCATGTCTTTTTTACTAATGCAGATTTGCCCCAGTTTCTAGTGCTGTATTGCTTATTTGAGTTGTAATGTGTTTATTTCAATGTGTACAGTGCTCTAATTTCCCAGGCTGTTGGATATTAAATGTGAGCTATAAGACCAGATTTGCTGCTAACAGACAGATTCAGAGAACATCTGATAAAGAGTTACACTGTCCAGGCATAGATCAGATTAGATCAGGTCCTTCTCAGATTTCACTGTGGCTTCACTCTAATTAGATAAAAGGTTCCAGCCAACAGTTTCTACCTCTGACCCAACAGCAGCAGGAGTCAGAGGCTTAAGGCTTGAGCTAGCTTTCTAACTATATAATCCCTGAACCCATGCTATAAATGTGATTGATTTATTGTATTTGAAAGAGTATGTCAAACCAGGTATGTTTTCCTTTTTAAAGTTGCAGTGGACTTTGGTTGTGTTGATACTAGTAGAGTATTATCTGCATACAGGATGATACATTATTTTGTTTCTACCTCAGTGTCAAATGGACAAGTGGTATTTTTGTGGGCACTTCTAAGTTTTGTTGCACATTCTTGCCTCTGTGACTCTCTATAGCAGGGAATCTGGTCCAAACCCTTGTAACTTCACAAATTCAGAGGAGTTTTGTACAGCTCAATCACGTTTTTGCTTGTTGTGAAAGTACAAGTTGTTTAACCATGACATTGATGTAAGATGCAGTATTTTTCTGTTTTGAATAAGCCATCTTCATTGTTTCATTGTAGAGCTCAGTTGGCCTTCTGACATGTTTTGTTTGTTTACATCCCTGCTAAATTTGAGATACTTTCCACTCACCTCAGATAAAGTTTTAACTTAAACTAAATTTGACACACTTGCACTCTGGCCACATTTTTGTAATTTTACACCTACTTTCATTAAAAAAAAACAATCTTTTTAATTGCCAGTTTGGACCCATAACAATAACCCTTGTTATTAGCCCTGTGTATCAGAGCTTGGTTAGTTGGGAGCTTGTGGGGTAAGGGGTCAACTTCAATGAAAGGTCAATATCAGGATTCCATTAAGGTAAATGAGCCTAGTGCCCCCTGGTTTTCAAGGTAATTACTTCCTATTTCCGCTTTCTTTTTTAACTTTACTTTTAAACTGGCTCATTCAGGCTGTCCATAACAGGAGTCATTATGGACTAACAGGGCCATACAAACCACAAGTCACAAAGAACCGCTGGGATTAATTATTGTGTTGAGGACTTGCTGGTTTCTACTTCCCCACAGAGCTTTCTCATCACAGTCTCTAAACATTCTTGGAGTTTCACAGCAACTATGTCAGAAACTGGGAGACAGACAGATACAGTCTTCATACATTATCATACATGTCAATGTTACCAATTATTATTATTTCAATATTAGAACTTTTTTGAGAGCGATTGAGATCCAATTTGTCAAACCACACCAATACATGTTGGAATTTGAGAGAGAGAAATTGTAGCACTACCTCAACTATTCCCAGTAAATTCCCAGTCACCTAAAACAGACTTTACTACTGTACTTCTTTGCTTTAGGTGACTGACTGTGGGGCGTACGGCTGTTCATATAGTGACTTCTTAAAACCAAATGATTTCTGTTTGACATAGTTGTTGCTTTGATAGAGAATAATTGAGGGATATCTACAATGTCATTATTGGATGTTAAATATTTATAATGTAGTGAATTAGGTGGCATGTCAGGTCAGCATCTTGACATTGTGATAGAAAATGTCTTACTATTTTTCATCAGATAGTACTAATGTTTAGCCATTATAAAAATCAGATTACCTGGTTAACAAACTAAGCTGACACTGGACAGATGACTCAGAGCGGAACTGTCCTTTCCATTATTCCATATTAAGCTGCCTTGTTCCTAGAACCTGGTGAGCAGTTACAGGTGATGTTCTTCTTATCACTCAGCTCTTTCATGAATCTAATCTGGGCATTTTATATTTGACATCATTTGACTTAATTTGCTTACAGAAACTTGTGTGTGGAAAGTATTTACATGTCAAATTTCCATCCCATTTGAGTGTGGGCCTCTTTTGAAGTCTTTTGACCTATATACAGTACGTACTAACATAAGGGTGTGTCTGAGGATGCCAACCCATGGTCAGAAACTGTTTTCAGCCCTGTACCTGTTTCAGAAAGTGCAAATATTTTTATTATGAGTCATTTTCAGGAAATTCCTTTTGTCACCTCTCAGTGTTAATAATTTGTGTTATTTGGGTTATTTTATAAAAAACTAAAAACAAATCTTTTAGCTAATCAGTATTCATGTTCATCCCCTAATTTATCTTTACATTTTCTTAGATATAAATACAAGTTAATAACCAACAGGACTGTCAATGACCTGGTTACTTGCTGGTTCTGTCATTTCTGCCTGAATCTCTTCTCTCTCCTCTGACCCAGCAGCAGCTCCCGACAGCTCATTCTGTCCATCCTGTCTTCATGGTCAGTGTTCAGTAACCTTTTCAAGCATATAGAAACAGTCTGGTTTGAGTTACGTGCTGGTAGTTTACCATGTGTCGTTGTGAAAGGGGGTTAATCACCCTGGAGGTAGAGCATGACCTTAGTGTGAGTGACGTTCTTTGGCTCCTTCCTGTGCTTCCGTGTGCTTGGTTCTCACAGGTTTAACTGCATTTTCTTTATCTGACAGCTAATATGACAAATATTCCTCATGCAAATTCCATACCAGGAAAAATGGTGTATTCAAATACAATAAAAAACAATAGTAATAACAAGTATAACGTGAAGAGATGTGAAAGAATTGGCACCCTACAGTTTTAGTTTAGTAAGATTTGTGTCAAATATAAATTAGTTTAAAAACTGTCCTTCATATACACACCAGTCACACGCCTTTGTTGGCACTGCTATGATGCTGTTCAGTGGATCAGGTCAGGGTTTATAAACGGCCCAGCATATGTAACATAATCAGTTACCAAAAACAATGTTTCATTGTCTTCGAGTCTGTGTCAACTTTTCCAGCTGTTTATCCACCATGATATAAACTAATTATCAGTTGTTACTCAGCCCTAATATTTCAGCTGAAGACATTGTCTATTTTTGTTGCGACCCCTACAGACAATCTGTTGTAGTCCATAACATAGACAGGTAATATAACAGTCATTTCCAGACTTATTAAAGCAGTCTGCCAGTTGGATTGTGCTGCAGCTGTTGACGCTTGTTCCACCTGACAGTATGGTTCTGCAGGGAGCCAGCCCTGCCTAGTTAACTTTAATTGCCTGTTTCCTGTGGAAGTTGCCGGAGCTGCAGCAGCATTTACACATAATGAAAAAAGATAAGTGTGAAAGGAAGCCAGCTCTTTAACCATGAATATTGAATTGGAAGCAATTTATTTTCAGAAAATTTTCCCTTCCCTGCACCCCCCGCTCGCTCTCCGCGTCCCTCTCTGCTCCTCATCTCAGCCCTGGCTTACTAATGAGGCTTCTTGATAATGATCCCTGCACGCTTTTCCTCATTAGGCACACTCAATAGGGACGTCCCTGCCTCAATCCCTCACTCACACTCTCTTTCATTCTCTTGTTATTCTCTGACTCTGCCTCTCTCTCCTCGTCTTGTTCAGACTGTCCCTTTTTCTGCTTCTTTTTCAAATCCTTTCTGTTTTATTTCCACCACAAATAGGGCTGCTAAGCCTGCTACTGCAATATTGATTAACAATACTGGCCTTAGTTGCTTATATCCATCCTACAAATCTGGGTCCTACCACATGTAATGAGCTGCTTGAATAATGGCCAACTAGTCGATACACTTTCAGATGTGCTAAGCTGCTGGAAATAACCCTGTCTATATTTTTCATTGTGTAGAATAAATGTATGGCTATTGAAGTTCTATCTAGCGGGCAGAATAGCAATCTTTTTTTGCTGAGAGGCAGTTGATGGATGTGCTAAGTGTTATTTAACCTTGTTTTAAAGCACTTGCTTCCCTCTTGCCTGAGTGGCTATTTAACTGCTGTCCATCTACTCACTCCTCTCTAGTTGCCTCTCACAGATATTCATGGCCTCTCAGGAGATGTGTGTGCATTTGTGCATGTGTTTCTATGTACACTGTGAATTACTTACGTGGTTTGTTAGAGCATTTCTTTAATTGTATATTTTTATTTGCTACCACTACCTAAGACAGTCAGGGCAAGAATGAAAATATCACACGGTCAAAATATTTATGCTATAAAATAAGAAGAGGAAAAAAGATGATAACATATTGCACTAATCGACACTTTTCTGTCAATCGAGGAGACTGTACAGAAAACAATTAAACCCTGAAAACCATATGTAAAATGAAAAGGACAAACTGTCACTGTAAAAGTCAAAATGATGGGAATTCCGAGTGCATTTGAAGACTGGCAGTGTGTGTGTGTGCGTGTATTTACTTTTTGTTAGCCTTTAACCTTTTTGGAAAAGGGCCTTTTAAGAAGATAAACACATTAGTCACCCAGAGCTATAAACATATCCTTCCCTTCTCTCAGTGAATGAGCTGGATCAGCATGTTGGCAGTCACTATCATTCTGCTATTATGAATTAATGGTTTGGCCTTGAACTGAACACAGTCGATGCCAGCTGTAATGCACAAGTAGAGTGTGGTCATTCATGAATTCACTACCCAGCCGACCCATTTGTCCTCTGCCATGTTTTTGTCTATTTGTGTTTGTCTACAGCAGCAGCAGCTCCAGGCTCAGCATCTCTCACACGCAGCCCACGGACCCCCCGTCCAGCTGCCCCCACACCCCTCAAGTCTTCAGCCACCTGGTATCCCCCCTGTAACAGGTGCTGGTTCTGGCCTGCTTGCTCTTGGTGCTCTTGGGAGTCAGGCCCACCTGCCTGTAAAGGATGAGAAGAACCACCACGACCTGGAACATAGAGGTGAGGAGCCAGCAATGAAAAACTTCTGCAGCTTTTAACGGTTGATGACTGATTGTTACATGGAAAAACAGATTGTCAGAAGTAGATTCAACTGTTGCAGAACATTTTTGTTTAATGTGTACACTTGTTTTTCGTGGTTCCATAGTTTGGTGGTTAGCATGCCTGCTTTTCTCATCTGCCTTACATGCAAAGGGTCCTGGGTTCGAGCCCCTGAGGAACAACATATCCCAAAGGGGGCCTCCTATGATAGCCTGTGTGGGATGCAAAAACTCACACTTTAAATTACAATAAGGGAAATTTTTAGATAATATTTAATAATACCTTTTAAATAATATTAACTTCTCAATTAGAAACAAGGTTGTACAACTCTGGCACTTTTCAAACACCACACAAAGAGACAACAGATCAAATTCAAGGATTAAAGTTGTAATCAACTGTGTTTTAGGCAAAGGATTTTACTGTGATATTGACAAATTTTAGGGTCAGACAAAAATCTAAATTAACTTTAAGTGAGCTGTGTCTGCTTCAAGGATTTAACAGAACCTGAAAGACAAAACTTTCCCACTGCAGTGTTTTTAACTCACTGTTAATTCTGCTGTTGCTGCACCCTCCAACTAAACTTCTTTTGCTTTGAGCGGACTCATGACCTGAGCCTTATCTGTTGCTTGTTGTTAGTACAAAAGCTAATCAGTCCCTCAGGGCAGACTTATAAGACACTAAGACATCTGAGCACCGTCATAATTATTAAATTGTGAAACTTATAAGACACTAAGACATCTGAGCACTGTCATAATTATTACTTTTTGCTCTGCAATTTACTGTTACTCACTGAATATATTTGTGTCTTTGTCTGCATCAGAGGAAAGTGATTACTAATTTATTTCAGCAAATCAACTGCAAGAAAAACTTTCTACGTGTGTTTTTGTTGTCAGCATTAATTGTGTCTCACAGTTGAAGTGTGGATATAAATTTGTCTTTTCTCTTTTCTCTCCTGGCCCCTCATCTTTTCACTCACCACCGTCCATTGCACTGAAAGAACGCGAGTCAAGCACGGTAGGTCAACTGTCCGAGTCATATGTGTCTAGGATAACTTCAGGCTGATTATATAGTTAAATCATGGCTTGATTTTTTGTTGTTGTTTTTTTGTCTGACCACATTCACATTTTTGTACTTCATGGTGTACAGTACAAGCAGACTGAAATCAATCCATGCAGTCTGGCCCAATAACCCAGGGCCATATAATTGTAGTGGAAAATGATTCCACTCACTGGTTAAATTTCAGCACAATTAAAAATGACTTTGAATGTTTTTTTCCCCCCCGCTAATTTCTTTGGGAGAGTTGCATGACTGTGACCCAACTCCCTTTTTTATCTCCTTTCTCTGAGCCCATACCTTTAGCCTTCCTCTGTATCTCACTCCTGTCCTCTGTCTTTCTTCCTTTTCATGTTAAAGTCCTTGTTTATTGGACTGGCTTAAGCTCTCTGTGAGTTGAAGTGTAATGCTCTGTTGAATCTGCTCGTCCAGATTGAGTTCCCATTGACTGCCCGTCCTGAATGAGCCTACTCATGTCTAAAGGAACCCAAACTCTCATCTCGTGTTGACCAGTGGCTGCCAAGTCTACCTTACCTAATCTCCCCTTTCCAGTGCACGCTCACACGCAGAGCCTTCCTGTACCGTTGTCTCAGGTCATCTGATACTAACGTTGGAGCCAAGTGCAGACTCGTTGAGTGAAGGCACTCCTTTTGAAGGCCCATACTATATAAAGATGAGCTACAGTGGTGTCTGGGCACATCCCCACATGTAGCCAGAGGAAAACATGTGGTCCATGGCATTTTTTTACAAGAGTAACAGAAGAAATTATAATATTTTGACAGAATATGCAAGGATGTGGAAAGGGCAAAGCTGCTGCCTGCCTGCTCGGTTAGAACCCTCAGGAAATGTCTGACTTTCTCTTAAGATGTGGCCAAGAAGGGAATAAGTTCCAGAGAGGGTGTGCTCCATTAAGTGGCCAACCACAGTGTTTTTTAATTGTCACTCTCCACCCTCTTCAGCTCAGGAGGTCTTTTTGACTGCCGTCCTCTAGCTCACTTCCCTAGCTGTTACCCTCCCTAGTTAGATGTCTTGCTCTTTCCATCATCTGCAGCCAAAATGTCAGACATCTTGTTTCTCCTTCTTTCACCACATTTCTCTGATGAAGAAGGGATTTGTTGAGCTGCCTGAAAGTGAGAGCTGGTCTCTGAGTTTGCTTACCTCAGCTCTGAGTCACCTCCCCCCTACTTGTGGGACTGTTTGGCAGGGCCACCCCACCAACACCAATGGCCAGACTACAAAACTTCTTTAGCTGGTTTGTAAGAGAGTGGCAGCCAGTGGAGTGCTACAACTGGTCAGGATAACTGCTGTGTTCTCATTACTTAGCCGGTTCCTTTCCCTTTTTTTTTTTTTTGGTTTTTATTCTTTCACAGTAACTTTTATTACTGCCAACTCTGACTGATTCTTCATGCACAACTTTGTTGTTGGCAGAATAACTCAGTGTCGCCTTCAGACAGCCTGAGAGCAGCAAGTGAGAAACACCGCAGCTCTTCAGATTACAGCCTGGACTCAAAGAAACGTAAAGTGGACGACAAGGACAACATGAGCAGATACGTAAGTGTTATGGTCTGTGTGACAAGTGTTTCCATAAAATAGTT